ACACCTTCCCGTCCCCGCGGTCATTGATCGAAGCCATACCATCGCCCGACGCGCTGCTCAGCGTCGCTCCGACGCTCAACATCGACACGTATCGGCTGCGCTTCGTTGCCGTTTCCCAAACGAGGACAAAGCACTTTCCGTTCTTCGGACTCTTCCAGTACACGGCGAGGCAGCCGTCGCTCTTGAGCTGGGCGACGTAGCTGCCCCTAGGATGCCGGCGAGTGCGATCGTGAGGGCTGGACCACACAAGCTTGTCTGACTTGACGTCATTGCGGAACCTTCGAGACAGCTCCAGCGACCCGGTTGGTGACAGCGTCAAGCCATACGTCGTCCCGTTCACCTCGCCCACGAACGTCTGTGTGCTCCAAATCGGTGCGGCCGAATTGGGGGACGCAGCGTCGTCGCGGTAGATGACGAACTGGCCATCGTTCTGGACCACACCGTAGTGCCTTAGTCGGCCGCTCGCAGCAGACATCATGATCTCGTCCTTGACACTGCTGAGCTCTTCGCCGACCGCCAACAGCGACGGCTGCCGCTGCCGAACACCAGGCACAACGGAGGAAGCACCGCTAGCCATGCCGGCGAGCATCTGCTTCAGCTCTTCTTCGCGCAACCAGGGCTTCCCAAAAAGGTTCAGCACGCGTAGCTGGCTAACCTTCAGCGACCTCAGATGTAGGAGCGGCGCGCCGTCGACCAGGAGCGGCACGGTGAAGTCCTGCCGCTTATGGTCGACATCGCCAGACTTGATGTGCTCTCCCTTCTCCATGTGATTGGTGCTGAGGCTGCGCTGGCCCTCGTAGTTTGGATAGACCAGGTATTGCCCCCTGAGGTAAAGCAGCTCGAAGTGGAACTTCTTCCAGCTGCCCTTCCAGCCGTTGGTGCGGCTTGAAGGAATCAACACGTCGTGGGGCGACTTGACGCCGGGCTTGAGATCAAAGCGCAGCCGCAAATAATCGACGAACTGCTCCCAGTGGTTAGGGAAGTAAACGGCCCCCCATGAGCACGGCGTCTGCAACAAATATGGGCTCTCTTTGTGCTCTGCTCCCATGACCTCAATCATGAGGGCCGTCGAGTTGAACGGCTCGGGCGGGTTGGTCGTCTCGGTGCGACGAGGCGAGTATAGGCTTATGCCTACCACGCGCGGGTCTGGCTCCCTTTGGAGCGCCAGCATCATCTCCGACACGAAGCGGAAGTAGTGCGGGGACACCTCGATGTCGTCCTCCAGCAGGCACCCGAAGTCCTCGGTCGAAGACGGGTACCAGCTTTCAGAGACAGCCAAGATCAGTCCGCCCTGCCTGGCCCGTTTGCGCACGT